AGGAGTTACAGTAGATTGGGTAACCCCTGGATCTTGTGTTATGTGAAGCAGTAAAACACTTCCTTATTCACTGTCTCCATACCTTTCAAGATTTTATAGGCCTCTATCATATCCCCTCTTAGTCCTCTTTTTTCCAAGCTGAAAAGTCCCAGTCTTTTTAATCTCTCCTCATATGGAAGCTGTTCAATACCCCATATAATTTTTGTTGCCCTTCTCTGTACCTTCTCAAATTCTAATATATCTTTTTTGAGATTGTGCGATGAGAACAGCACACAGTATTCAAGGTGTGGGCATACCATATAGTGGCATTATGATATTTATTATGCCTTTCCTAATGGTTCCTAACATTGTTGTCTTTTTTTGACTGCCATTGCATATTGAGCAGATGCTTTCAGAGAACTATCCACAAGGATTCCAAAATGTCTTTCTTGAATGGTAACAGCTAATTTAGACACCATCATTTTGTATGTATAGTTGGAATTATGTTTTCCCAATGTGCACAACATTGCAATTATCAATATTGAATTTCATCTGCCATTTTGTTTCCCAACCACCCAGTTTTGTGAGATCCCTTTGTAACTCTTCAATGCCAGCTTTGGACTTAACTATCTTGAGTAATTTTGTATCATCTGCAAACTTTGCCACCTGTTTACTCCTTTTTCCTGATCATTTATGAATATGCTGAACAGTACTGACCCCAGTACAGAATCCCTGGGGAACCCCGCTATATCTCTCTCCACTGTGACCATTTCTTCTGACCCTTTGTTTCCTTTCTTTTAACCAGTTGTTGATCCATGAGAAGATCTTCCCTCTTGTCCCATGACTGTTTACTTTGCTTAAGAGTTGTCTTGAGGGACCTTGTGAAAGACTTTCTGAAAGTCCAATTACACTATATCAACTGGATCACCCTTGTCCATGTTTGTTGACCCCCTCAAAGAATTCTAAAAAGATTGGTGAGGCATGATTTCCTTTACAAAAGCCATGTTGACTCTTCCCCAACAAATGTTGTTCATTTATGTGTCTGATAATTCTATTCTTTACTATAGTTTCAACCAATTTGCGTGGTACTAAAATTAGGCTTACCAGCCTGTAATTGCAAGGATTGCCTCTGGAGTCTTTTTTTAAAAACTGGCGTTACATTAACTATCCTCCAGTCATCTGGTACAGAAGCTGCCTTAAGTGAGTGATAGGTTACATATCACAGTTAGTAGTTCTGCAATTTCATATACGAGTTTCTTCAGAATTCTTCGGTGAATACCATATGCTCCTGGTGACTTTCTACTGTTTAATTTATCAGTTGATCACTTGTATTTGCTGTGGGCTGTCTCACGATTATGACTTGATTTGATTTCAGTGTTTATTCTAAATTTTTCAAAATTTATTCTACTATTGAAGTTCTTTTAATCACTAAATGGTACCTTACCAGAATACATCCTCCAACACATTTACAGGTAAGGGACGAGGATAAAACACTATGAAAAGCCTTTCCTTCATAGAAGTCTCAGGTGGAACCTTTTTTTTGCGTGATGGAAGTACAGCATCTGTTTGGGGCTGAGATAACGGAGAACTAGAACTTCCACTGCAAGGTTGCTGAAACAAAAATAAAATGTAACGAAAAACGTAACTGATGAAAATAAAGTGAAAATTTCCATTTTATCTGATTTAGTACTCCGTTACTGTTGTAGGACATTAAAGTCCTGGATTACATATGGGCTCTCTGATAGCCACATGATTAACTGATGTGTTTTTCTTGACTACCTCCCTGACAGTATTTTTCCTGGGCAATAAATCCAGTTAAGATCATACCACCTTTAAAGAGTACAGAAAAGCACAAATCAACCCACCACATTTCAAACAAACAAAGTCAGCTCCTAAAGCAGTCACAAGGGTAAGAGAAAAAAAGATGAGACACGATTGCTTATTGCACATTTCAAGTTTCTGTAACAACTGAGGAGAAACAACATCAAAAGTATAGACTGTAGTTACTTACAGAAGATGTATATTGCTGACCAACTAGATTATTATGTGACACCATTGATGACACCTGTGAAGTCACCAGCTGTGTTGCCATTTTTCTGATGTGGCTGCAAGCAGAAATAATCAGACTGTCTTTACAGCAAAAAGTAACATTACTATAATCTTAAGAAATGCACATGACAATTCGTTTAAAATCAAAATTTTCAGAGAAAGAACTGATCAAGAAAACATCTATTCAGTTTTCCTTGATATGTGCGGAGAACATCCAGGAATAAGTAAAATGTTGCAAATTTATGTGAGTACTCTTGTTAGACCCAGAATACACTGAGATACCTGTATCCCAATGTTCTATACTCTTTTCCTATAACATAGCCTTTCAGTTATCACTGTTGCTTTAATAGACCGACAGAATATACAAACCCAGCTCATGGAGTTAAACTCAGCTCTTTACGTTGCCTGAGAGAAGTAAAAATGAGTTTGCTGGAAACATTATTTCTTCCCTATAATTTTCTTATCCATTTTGATAGTGAAGGTAAAACAATTACATTTTTTGCTTGGACTAGCAAGATTTTATATTTTGCAAAGCTAGAATAAGGCAAACTTCTTCACATTTTACAATTGTGCGACTCTTGGAATTAGGTATTAACAGAAGCATTAGAATGGCTTCACAGTATGGCATGCTGGCTCAAACTACATGCACTTCCACACACCCAAGTTATGTATTTTCTCTTAAAGAGGACATGCTGAGGAAAAAAATATTGGGCTATGCTTACTTTGGGGGTTTTGTTTTCTTTCTTCTTATGATACATAAACAATTTTTATTCTACTTTTTTTAACCTTATAAATATCAAGAGTATTAAATCACTAGCCTCCCAGGTTTGGCCGAAAGTCTCCTGGAAGAATTTGAGCAAAAATAACTCCCCCATCACTTAACTGAGCAAGAAATTACTCCTGGGGGAATTCTGCACCACTAGCGTATATGTGCAGAATTTATGTCCCCCACAGATTTCTTTGCTTCCCCGCAGAAAAGTTACTTCCCACCTCTGTGCAGCCAGTGGCCTGTGCTCCCCAATGCCATGCTGAAGCCTCCACATTTATTTGACAAATAAAATTTGCATAATTTTGCAGAATTTTAATATATTGTGTGCAGAATTTTTAATACTTTGGCACAGCATTTTTAGGAGCAGAATGCCCTCAGGAGTAAGAAATGGTGTTGAATCTTTAACAATGATTTTTCATTCTTTGTCAGGTGTTTTGGTCAGGTCATTATCTATCTTCAATTCCCTTCCCCTGATCTGTGCAGGTCCCACTTCCTTGGTGCTCACGCTGCCAATATCCTATTAGCTCTACAGTCACCCAGAGTCTTCCAGGAAACAATAGACAAAAACCTGCTTCTAATATAAAATCCACTACCCCATTCTCAGACTTCTTTATACATCACAAGCTAGTAAAAAAGGTTTGGTCACATTTTACAAGTCATCTTAAAATAAAAGGAATGTTTTATCTTTTCTTTTCCCTCTGTCTCTTGAAAAGTAGCAGCAATGTTTGGTGTTTCAAAAGGCCTTTTCTGGGATTGTGCCCTGTGTGGTGTAGTGAAACCCCACTGTGGCCTGGAAAGGGGTTAACAGTCAACTAATTACAGTACAGGTACAACAGATTACCTAATTAGTTGCTTCCCAGCCAGAGGGGCAGGATAGGAGGCATCAAGTAATAATTTAATGGACACCTGGGCCTCATAAAAGGGGAGAGAATTCAATCTGAAGGGAGGAACCACAAAGACTCTCATGAAGAAGCCTAAGCTAGACTCAGCAAGATAATAGACACCTCAAAGAAATATTTACCTCGCCTTCCTTGTCTACCTCAAGGAGACACTTTGAGGGGCCAGTACTCGAGGCCAAATCTGGAGAGAAGACTCCACAGTAACTAAGGAAGAGACAGAAGAGACAGCCCAGGAGAAGAGCAGATTGATTGAGAGTGTTTTTGGACATTAATTTGAGCTTTAGCTACCCGAAAGGGATTGGACTTCTGGAGGGCTGAGTTGTGCATGTGATATTGCACTCCATATGATTTTATAAAAATATGCTAATGAGCATGAATATAATGTAACTGGAATATGCTTCATGCAAAAGGTCTCTTGTAAGGTATCATTACAAAGCTTATAATCTGAGTGTGGTCATCCTATTTGTATAAATGTATCATTCTTGTATCTGAAACTAGAAATATGAAATATAACTGAGGTCCTATTGTAATTATGCAAAAAGTGTGGGCCATTAATGGTGGTTTGGAATCTTGACGGCTCCCATCAACTTGGACAATTGGTGTAAATGGCTCTGTTTACTTTCAAGCCTTCCTGTGAGTCAGGCCAGGAAGAATGAAGGCTTTGGGTCTCACAGGACATGTGACCATATCACCTAGTACTGGAATCCATCTAAAACCTGGGGCTTTTCCATTTAGAAGGAGGGGTGGGGACCCAGAAAGACAAAAGATTCTTGCCTTGTGCCAAAGCTTTAAAAGGGAGTGGACCAGAACAAAGGAGATACCAGTCATGAGAAATCTCCAAGCTACCATCTGAGCTGGAACAAGGACTGTCCCAGAGGAAAGGATTGGGCCCCCGACTAGGAAGGAGTCCAGTCTGTGAAAGAAGCTTATTGGAACATCTCTGAGGGTGAGATTTTATCTGTAATCAGTTTCTTAATGTATTAGGCTTAGACTTGCAGGTTTGTTTTATTTTGCTTGGTAACTTACTTTGTTCTGTCTGTTATTACTTGGAACCACTTAAATCCTACTTTTTATATTTAATAAAATCACTTTTGCTTATTATTGAACCCAGAGTTAGTGACTAATACCTGGGGGAGCAAACAGCTGTGCATCTCTCTCTATCAGTGTTCTAGAGGGTGGACAATTTATGAGTTTATTCTGTATAAGCTTTATACAGAGTAAAACAGATTTATTTGGGGTTCGGATCCCATTGGGAGTTGGGTGTCTGGGTGCTAGAGACAGGAGCACTTCTTAAGCTGTTTTCAGTTAAGTCTGCAGCTTTGGGGCACGTGGCTCAGACCCTGGGTCTGTGTTGGAGCAGACTGGTGTGTCTGGCTCGACAAGGCAGGGTTCTGAAGGCCCAAACTGGCAGAGAAAATGGGCTCAGAGGTAGTCTCAGCACATCAGGTGGCAGTCCCAAGGGGGTCTCTGTGACCCAACCCGTCACAGTGCACAAAGCGGGGGGGGGGGCGGGATAGCTCAGTGGTTTGAGCATTCGCCTGCTAAACCCAGGGTTGTGAATTCAATCTCTGAGGGGGCCATTTAGGGAACTGAGGTAAAAATCTGTATGGGGATTTGTCCTGCTTAGAGCAGGGGGTTGGACTAGATGATCTCCTGAGGTCCCTTCCAACCCTGATATTCTATGACCATCAAGGGACATAGGAGACGAAGATTCCTGTAACTTTGCCCCCTGATACCAGGAGGCATTGTAGTGGTGAGTGCACACCATAGCACCCTGAAATATCGTACATTTCAGAAGCATCCATTATAGAAACAAAAGTTGTACAGTGGTAGGTTTCATTTTCTTAATTTTTCCTTTTCCCCTTGCCTTTATAACAATTTTTCAAAGAGAAACACTGCTCTCCAGAACACAGAATTACAGCTTTTCACCTATGTGGGTTGGTACTTACTCCAGTCCGTTGCTCCCATCTTCAAGGAAAGCAACACCTAGACGATTTCCAGGAGGATATTCAAAACCATGTAGCTTGTATTTGGCATATATAGCTGATGCTGCAGTAGTATACTGAATCACAGCATGCCCTAAAGATGGATGAAACATACCAAGATAAGGTAGAAAGTGTGTAAGTTGAAATCCTCAAAAGCACTACTAAGAACAAAGTGTACTCAAACAACACAGCAGGGTACAACACCAGATTAGTCATAGGCACTCAAATACAATGAAGTCTTTTTACTTCATCATCCAACTCATCTTTAGCAAAATCCAAAAACTGGGTGACTGAACAAATCTTTACAGCTGAACCTGAAAATCATCTGATATTACTTCCTTTATAGAATGCCTATAAAAAAAAACCCTCCAAAAGTTAACAGATATTTGTAACCACTAATTTGTACACAAATATTTTCCTTTTTAAGTGTAGTTATTCTCTGAAATAAGTGATTAAAATGTAGGGTTCCTGTTTGTTGTATCAATGATTTCCATATCAAATTTGTCAGCTTAAAAGCAGAGGTAGTTCTTGTAACCAGCAATTTAAGCCACTATGTTCTTTTGGATCATGCATCATCAATACTAATAATTCTGTACCAGCAATTTAGTTAACAATACTATTGATTATAATATAATCCAGTTTGTTCTCCCATAGCTATACTGGCTCTGTGGGGCTAGCTAACAGGCTTAAAATTGTAAAACCTTATTTTAAGATGGAATCCATACATTACTTTGAGGGCATGATGAGAATTCAACAAAGCAGATGCATGTTTTTTTCCTTAACAGAAATCCTACACATCTTTGATAACATCACATCTGATGCAGAATCTATTAAGAAACAGCTTTCATTTGATTTTTGACTTCTGAGCATATGAAATGTAGAGATGCTATGGGTTGCTTCCCCACTTTGTAAATATTAGGACCCCTCAGGGATCTAGTTAGCGATAGGATGTAACTGTTCAGTCTAATAGGTCTGTTCAGAGGAGATGTAGAGTAGAACAGCAGCGTACAGGACCAAATTTATGTATCTTCCACTGCCAAAAGACTACATTATTCTGTATTGAGAAGGAAGAGGAAGGGAAAATAAAATATTTTAGAGTCAAAACAGTAGAAAGAAAGAGGTACTTTTTGTTTTGTTATTTACCATGGTTAGTATGCGGATCTTGCTGAACATCACAATACTCCAGTCCTGGGACTAGATCAAAGAGGAAGAACAGCCGCTCTTGTTCGAAGGGGAGTCGCGATACCACTGACAGGCGTTTGGAAACGGATTCTCGAACTCTCGTCTGACTCTTTTCAAAACTACCAAATTCTGGCTGCCCTTCTCAAGAACCAAAATAAGACACATTACACGTCACTATACTATTTACCTTGACCATTTCAATAAAATTTTTCTAAAACATTTCTAGGACCTAAGTCATATTATAATAAAAAAAGGACATATTTATTTCAGACAACCAATGCAAAGGCCAAATGTAAAATAACCCTGAACAATATAGAAACTAAATGTCTGAGTTAGAACCAACAACCAAAAACCTGGACCTACTATTTTAAATGTGTCTCCATTTTGCCTCTCTCTGAATATACCTCTATTTCCATAACACTCTTTCCAGTTTCTGTGTGATCTTATCCAGAATTACCAGTCACTGTTAATGTGAAAAGTTATTACTTACCGAAGGGAAACACACTCCCTCTAGGTTCATGCCCCATTGGCTCCTGCCTCATACTACTGCTACTACTGTAATAGTCACATTCAGAGGATTCAGACGGCTTGTTTTTAGGTTCAGCCAAAATGGCCCTGTAACCTGGAACAAGTAACCACATATTTCAAATTTCATCATGTATTTTTCAAACATCTGTGACTAGAAAATGTTCTTTAAGCATTGTATTGAAAAACATTACAGACAGAAAAATCAGTTACTGTTTCTTTAAAAACAAAACAACAACTATCCTATCACTCATGAAGACTAATACAATTAGAAGCAACATAACCCATTATCTATTCCATTCAGAAGTACAGTGCCCAAAGATCATCTTGGAAATACTTGACAGAGAGGCAAGAAGTAGCTGGACATCTATGCAGCCTCAGCCTACCTTTGCCTACCAAGATCTGTGCTGAATTAGGCACTTCACCTGTGTAAGCTATTTGGTCTGGTCTCAGACCATCTAACTCCTTTCATTCTGACCTCATGGACCCGGGATTAAAGAAAAATACTAAATTTGTTAACAGGCTGATATAACCTTAACTCTCATTAAATGAAGTTTTTGTGTGTCCTAATTTTAGTTAGGAATAAGATACAAGACAATTATAAAAAATAGGTGCTTAATTGATATTTGTGATTAATTGGGCACTACATAGTCCAAGACTACACAATTCATTTATTTCACTATATTAAAAACATACCAGTCCACTGTTTTGGGCACATCTTTATAAAGTATTATACAGCTTTTAGATACTGGTTTTAACTGTTAACTCTAGACCACAACTCTCTCAGAACTAAACTTTACCACACCTTGTTTATATTAATTTGTTTGCAAATTTGTTCTCTAGCTTTTTGAAGGCCCATATAGGAAGATTTGAAGAACATTCTTTATTGAAACCACAGTAGCCATGTCAGCACTACTGATCATCTAATATGTTCAATAAGGCTTTATGCAGAATATTAGTGTTTCCTCTTGGCTGTGTGTGTAAAAGGATAAAAAGAAAAACATTGCAGATCATCTGAGGAGCATGAAGCACTACAGAAAGGTGTATTTTATTATTCCCATTTTACAGAGGGAGAAACTAAGGCATGAGAGGTTACATTAATTGCCAATGTCACAGGAATTCTAGTTCTGTCAATCCTGTGCTCTAAGCACTAAACAACTTTAACTGCAACAAATGTTAAATCATAAGACTAAGTGTGCTATATTCTGAAAATAGTGAAACATGGTATTATTAGTATCAAATACAGTTTTGTTTAAATAGCTGTAGTCACAATACATTTTACTGTGGTGTTTGTGCATTATTATATATTCCTTTTATTTTGAGTATCCCCTGAGAACTTCATAAAAGTTCATCTGCATAAAAAAAAGTGTGTGTGTGTATATATATATATATATATATACACACACACACACACACACACACGACT